ATGCACCCAATTAAAAACCATGTTAGCTCTTCATATATGAAAATTAAAGGTCGGGCGCGGTGGCTCATGCCTGTAATCCCAGCACTTTGGGAGGCCGAGGTGGGCGGATCACACAATCAGGAGATCGAGACCATGGTGAAACCCCGTCTCTACTAAAAATACAAAAAAGAATTAGCAGGGGGCGGTGGTGGGCGCCTGTAGTCCCAGCTACTTGGGAGGCTGAGGCAGGAGAATGGCATGAACCCAGGAAGGAGAGCTTGCGCTGAGCCAAGATCATGCCACTGCACTCCAGCCTGGGTGACAGAGGGAGACTCCATCTCAAAAAACAAACAAACAAACAAAATTAGCCGGGGCAGTGGCGGGCGCCTGTAATCCCAGCTACTCAGGAGGCTGAGGCAGGAGAATTGCTTGAACCCATGAGGTGGAGGTTGCAGTGAGCTGAGATTGCACCACTTTACTCTAGCCTGGGTGACAGAGCAAGACTCCGTCTCAAAAAAAAAAAAAAAAAAGAAAAAATTTGGGGAGCTGTAGCAGGAGGATCACTTGGGCCCTGAATGTCAAGGCTGCAGTGAGTTATGATCATGCCACTGCACTCCAGTCTGGGGCCTCCACATCCGGCTAATATTTGTATTTTTTTAGTAGACCTGGGGTTTCACCATGTTGGCAAGCTGGTCTTGAAATCCCAACCTCAAGCGCTCCTCCCACCTCGGTCTCCCAAAGTGCTGGGATTACAGGCGTGAGCTACCATGTCCGGACAAAAATTTAAAAACAAAAACAAAAAACAAGATTTACCTAATCATTTGGTTTGGCAGATTTAAAAATAGGTTTGTATTTCTTTTTTTTTTTTTTTTTTTTTGAGACGGAGTCTCGCTCTGTCGCCCAGGTTGGAGTGCAGTGACAGGATCTCAGCTCACTGCAAGCTCTGCCTCCCGGGTTTACGCCATTCTCCTGCCTCAGCCTCCCGAGTAGCTGGGACTACAGGCGCCTGCCACCTCACCCAGCTAGTTTTTTGTATTTTTTAGTAGAGACGGGGTTTCACCGTGTAGGCCAGGATGGTCTTGACCTCCTGACCTCGTGATCCGCCCGTCTCAGCCTCCCAAAGTGCTGGGATTACAGGCTTGAGCCACTGTGCCCGGCCTGTATTTCTTTATAAACTCATCAATTGATGGCAGTGGAAAGCAGCTTAGATATATGTTGAGTAGAAATGGAAGTTTAGTGTGGGATTTAAATTTTTCTGCAGATAACTCACAAAATCTGTTTTCCTTCTTTGGGCCTTAAGCATATCTGTAAAAAGTAGTGTAGGCTAAGCACAGTAGCTCACGCCTGTAATCCTAGAACTTTAGGAAGCCAAGGTAGAACGATTGCTTGAGCCCAGGAGTTTGAGGCCAGGCTGGGTAACATAGGAAGACCTTGTCTCTATGAAAAAGTAAAAAATTAGCTGGCTGTGGTGGCTTGCACCTGTAGCTACTTGGGACGATGAGATGGGAGGACTGCTTGAGCCTAGGAGGTTGAGGCTGCAGGGAGCTGAGATTGCACCTCTAAATAAATAAATAAATAAATTTTAAAAATAAAAATAAAAAAGTAGTATAGTTTATTTAGGTTAAACTTCAATTCTCTTTTTCTCCAAAACAACTCAGTTTTCATTTATTTAGTTCCATTATAAGCAGAGTCTCTCACCTACCCAATGAGCCCTAAAAACTTAAAATGATAACTATGTTCACAAAAATATCAGCAATGCATAAATTAGAATTTATGATACCAAAGTTTGGATTATAATAAGTTTAATTCTTATCTTCCCATACTTCCTGATCCATCAGTTCAAATAATTAAAAAATTATAAATCCCAGAATGGGCAATATAGTAAGACCCAGTCTGTACAAAAAATTAAAAAAGGCCAGGCATGGTGGCTCACACCTGTAATCCCAGCACTTTGGGAGGCCAAGGCAGGCAGATCACTTGAGTTCAGGAATTCGTGACCAGCCTGGCCAACATGGAGAAACTCTGTCTCTACAAAAAAAAACCAAAAAAAAACTACCCCAAAAAAACCAAAAAAATTAGCCGGGCATGGTGGCCATGATTGTAATCCCAGCTACTCTGGTGGCTGAGGCAGGAGAATCACTTGAACCCAGAAGGTGGAGATTGCAGTGAGCTGAGATCACACCACTGCACTCCAGCCTGAGTGACAGACTGAGTCCCTGTCTAAAAATAAAAATATAATATAATTAGCCAGGCGTGGTGGTGCATGCCTGTAGTCCCAGCTACTTGGGAGGCTGAGGTGAGAGGGTTGCTTGGGAAGTCGAGGCTGCAGTGAGCCATAATCATGCCACTGCACTCTAGCCTGGGCAACAAAGAGAGATCCTATCTCAAAAACAAACAAACAAACAAATAAAAACTATAGGCCGGGCTTGGTGGCTTACGTTTGTAATTCCAGCACTTTGGGAGGCTGAGGCGGGTGGATCATGAGGTCAGGAGTTCAATAACAGGCTGACCAACATGGTGAAACCTGTCTCTGCTAAAAATACAAAAAATTTAGCCAGGCGTGGTGGCACATGCCTGTAATCCCAGCTACTCAGGAGGCTGAGGCAGGAGAATCGCTTGAACCCAGCAGGTGGAGGTTGCAGTGAGCCGAGATTGTGCCACTGCACTCCAGCTTGGGTGACAGAGTGAGATTCTGTCTCAAAAAAAAAAAAAAAAAAAAAAAAAAATTACAAATCCCCACAATCATTTAAGCCAAGTCAAAATTTCAGCGACATTAAGAAAGGAAATTATACCAGTACCCTTCTTTTCAACCTCCAATATACATTTTTTTTTTTAGAGACAATGTTTTGCTCTGTTGCTCAGACTGGAGTGCAGTGGCATGATTATGCCCAGGCTGGAGTGCAGTGGCATGATCATGGTAGCATACTGCAACCTTGAGCTCCTGGGCTCAAGTGATCCTCCTGCCAAAACCTCCTGAGTAGTTGGGACTATAAGGACGTGCCATCAACCAGGCTATTTTTTTTTTTTAATTGTGTAGAGATGAGGGGTCTTGCTATGTTGCCCCAGCTGATCTGGAACTCTTGGCCTCAAGCAATCCCCTTGCCTTGGTCTCCCAAAGTGCTAGGATTACAGGATTACATGTATCAGCCATTGTGCCTGGCCAACCTCCAGTATTTTTAAGGTATGGAGTTGTAATGATGGGCTTCCTCTTTTCAAAAAATTTTAATTATGTCTTTTTTGAATAACTGATACATTAAATGATTAAAAACATCAAGGCTATAAAAGCATATACATTGAAAAGCCTCCCACTCATCCTTAGTACCCAGCTGCCCTCCTTGGAAGCAACTAATGTTATGTCTCAGTATACTAATATATAGCCTCAGTCTGAATATAGCTGGGCATGGTGGTGTGGAACTGTAGCCCCAGCTACTCAGGAGGCTGAGGCAGGAGGATATCTTGAGCCCAGGAGGTTGAGGCTGCAGTGACCCATGATTGCACCACTGCACACAAGTCTGGGTGACAGAACAAGACCCAGTTACACACACAAAAAAGAAAAAAGAACTGTTTAACCAAAAGGTACATCTTGACTGAGTGTGATGGCTTATGTCTATAATCCTAGCACTTTGGGAGGCTGAGGTGGAAGGATCACTTGAGGTCTGGAGTTCAAGACCAGCCTGGCTAACATGGTGAAACCCTGTCTCTATTAAAAATACACAAAAAGTAACTGGACGTGGTGGCGTGCGCCTATAGTCCCAGCTACTCAGGAGGCTGAGGCACAAGAATTGCTTGAACCAGGGAGGTGGAGGTTGCAGTGAGCCAAGATCCTACCACTGCACTCCAGTCTGGGCAACAGAGAGGGACTGCATCTCAAACAAACAAGCAAACAAAAAACCCAAAGGTACATCTTTATGTACATCTTTAGTATCTACAGATACTACCAATATCCTTTTTAGAGGATCCATTAATTTGCACTCTTACAAATGATTTATAAGAGTGCTTATTTCCCTACACCTTTAACAACATAGTGTTATAATGGTATCTCAGTACAGTATTTATTTGCACTTCTCTTGTTATGAATGAAGTAGGTTGGATATATTTTCTCTTTCTTTTTTTTTTTTTTTTAAGACGGAGACTCACACTGTTATCCAGGCTGGTGTGCAGTGGCACAATCACGGCTCACTACAGCCTCAACCTCCTGGGCTCAAGTGATCCTCCCACTTCAGCCTCCTGAGTAGCTGGAACTACAGGTGTGTGCCACCATGCTCGGCTAATTTTTGTATTTTTAGTAGAGACGGGGTTTTGCTATTTTGGCCAGGCTGGTCTTGAACTCCTGATCTCAAGTGATCCTCTTGCCTCAGCCTCCCAAAGTGCTGGGATTACAGCCGTGATCTGCCTCACCCGGCTATTTTCATATTTTTAAGAGCCATCAGTACATTTTTTTCTGTGGACTACTGGTTCATATTATTATTATTATTATTATTATTATTATTTTTAGACGGAGTCTTGCTCTGTCACCCAGGCTGGAGTGCAATGGCATGATCTCAGCTCACTGCAAGCTTCGCCTCCTGGGTTCACGCCATTCTCCTGCCTCAGGCTCTTGAGTAGCTGGGACTACAGGCGTCCACCGTCACACACGGCTAATTTTTTTTTTTTTTTTTTGTATTTTTTAGTAGAGATGGGGTTTTACCATGTTAGCCAGGATGGTCTCGATCTCCTGACCTCACGATCCGCCCGCCTCGGCCTCCCAAAGTGCTGGGATTACAGGCGTGAGCCACCACGCCCGGTCTACTTGTTATATTTTCCACCAGATCAACTGTTTTTTACTACAGATTTTATACATATTAGGCAATTAGCTTTTGCCAGTCTGGTTCTGTTTCTTTTTCTTTTTCAGAGCTTCTTTGCCCCAACTTGCGTCTGGCAGTCTCCCACTTCCACTATTTGTTTTACTGCCTCATGTTTAGGTGAATATGGAGTATCTAAAATATCTTTTAATAAACAATTGTCTACAAGAGATAACTCACCTTGCTGTCCATCTTGCATAGTTACAATAAATGGCTGGCCAATGCCTCCAGTAGGGATTGAAGTTTGGATATTACCCAGAGGGACTCCATCAGTTACTATGGTGATGACCCTCTGGCCTCCACTCCCCATTACTTGCTGAATTGATGAGTCAACAGAATTTCCCTCTATAATTTCCTCTGAATTGGCTAGAAATGACAAAAGCAAATTTAAAATTTCAGCATTTTTAAAAAATAGGAGTATAGCAATTTCAACCTCCTTGAACCTGACAACATTCAGGGAGAGGAAAATTTCTTTTCTTTTTTTTTTTTTTTTTTGAGACGGAGTCTCGCTCTGTCGCCCAGGCTGGAGTGCAGTGGCGCGATCTCGGCTCGTCGCAAGCTCCACTTCCTGGGTTCAAGCGATTCTCCTGCCTCAGCCTCCCGAGTAGCTGGGACTACAGGTGCCCACCATCACACCAGGCTAATTTTTGTATTTTTAGTAGAGACGGGGTTTCATCATGTTGGCCAGGCTGGTCTCGATCTCCTGACCTCAAGTGATCCGCTCGCCTCTGCCTCCCAAAGTGCTGGGATTACAGGCGTGAGCCGCCCGGCCGAAAAATTTCTTTTTTTTTTTTTTTTTTTTTGAGACGGAGTCTCGCTCTGTCACCCAGGCTGGAGTGCAGTGGCCGGATCTCAGCTCACTGCAAGCTCCGCCTCCCGGGTTCACGCCATTATCCTGCCTCAGCCTCCCGAGTAGCTGGGACTACAGGCGCCCGCCACCTCGCCCAGCTAGTTTTTTGTATTTTTTAGTAGAGACGGGTTTCACCATGTTAACCAGGATGGTCTCGATCTCCTGACCTCGTGATCCACCCGTCTCGGCCTCCCAAAGTGCTGGGATTACAGGCTTGAGCCACCGCGCCCGGCCCGAAAAATTTCAAAAAAAAAAAAAAAAAAAAGTGAGATTCAACAGTTTGCAAAAGGTTTTGTGAACAATGCTAAGTCAGAGGAGAAAAGAAAATAGAGAATGCATTAGAACAGTATTTTATAAAATGTGTTCATTGAGGTATTAATAACTTTCACTAAAGATGGGTTCTATGTATAAACACGTTTTCAAAATTCTGGTTTAAATATGCTTAAACTTTTTTGTTTTGTAGGAGTATCAGAGACTTCAATAGGGTAATAAACATTGTGATTCTCCAGCAGGGTGTGATTCTCCAACAGGGTATAAGATACTCTGTTTCGGCTGGGCATGGTGGCTCATGCCTATAATCCCAGCACTTTGGGAGGCCAAGATGGGCGAATCACTTGAGGCCAGGAGTTAAGAGACAAGCCTGGCCAACATGGCAAAACCCTGTCTCTACTAAAAGTACAAAAATTAGTCAGGTATGGTGGCATGTGCCTGTAGTCCCACCTACTTTGGAGGCTGAGGCACGAGAATCTCTTGAGCCTGGGAGGCGGAGGTTGCAGTGAGCCGAGATGGAGCCACTGCACTCCAGCCTGGGCAACAGAGCGAGACTCTGTCTCAAAAAACAAACAAAAAACCCAGATATGCTGTTTCCCCAACATATTTGATATTGGAACCCTTTTTTTTTTTCAGGAAGTATCTTGAAAGTCTAAAATTGGCTGGGCATGGTGACTCATGCCTGTAATCCCAGCACTTTGGGAGGCCTAGGTGGGCAGATCACCTGAGGTCAGGGGTTCGAGACCAGCCTGGCCAACATGGTGAAACCCTATCTCTACTAAAAATACAAATATTAGCTGGGCATGGTAGTAGGCACCTGTAATCCCAGTTACTTGGGAGGCTGAGGCAGGAGAATTGCTTGAACCTGGGAGGTGGAGGTTGCAGTGAGCCGAGATACTGAGATAGTGCCATTGCACTCCAGCCTGGGTGACAAGAGCAAGATTCCATCTCAAAAAAAAAAAAAAAAAAAAAAAAAAAAAAAAAAATCTAAAATAACCATAAATCAGAGTAAATGGGATATTTAATAGTGAATTAACAGAATAATACGTGAAGTAGTCAAAATATTGAAGTCTGATAGACAAAAATGTTAGGTGGCTTTTCTCATCTGATACCAAGAATAATAGCTGACCGGGTATGGTGGCTCATGCCCATAATCCCAGCACTTTGGGAGGCCAAGGCAGGAGGATTGCTTGAGGCCAGGAGTTGAAGACCAGCCTGAGCAGTGAGACCACCTCCCGCCAAATTTGAAAAATTAACTGAGCGTGGTGGCATGCACCACTCAGGAGGCTGACGTAGGAGGATCACTTGAACCTAGAAGTTCAAGCTGCAGTGAACTCTGATTGTGCCACTGCACTCTAGCCTGGGTGACAGAATAACAGAATAAGATCCTGTCTCTATCAAAAGAAACCCCAAACATATATATATATATATATATATATAAAATAGCCAACACTTATGTGCCAGGTACCATTCTATGAGTGTTACGTGTATTATGCTGAATTGAGATTTTCAGTTTGATTAGTCAATATCCCAATAAACTAAGCACTATTAGAGGAAACAATTCCTACCACTGTGGAATTTCTCTATCTAAAGCATCACAGGGCCAGGGGCGGTGGCTCACACCTGTAATCCCAGCACTTTGGGAGGCCGAGGTGGGCAGATCACCGAGGTCAGTAGTTTGAGACCAGCCTGGCCAACATGGCAAAACCCCATCTCTACAAAAAATACACAAATTAGCTGAGCGTGGTCGTGAGCACCTGTAATCCCAGCTACTTGGGAGGCTGAGGCAGGAGAATTGCTTGAACCCTGGAGGCAGAGATTGCAGTAAGCCGAGATCATGCCACTGCACCCCAGCCTGGGTGACAGAATGAGACTCTGTCAAAGAAAGAAAAGAAAGAAGAGAAAAGAAAAGAAAAGAAAAGAAAAGGAAGAAGGAAGGAAGGAGGGAAGGAAGGAAAGAAGGAAGGAAAAGAAAAGAAAGAGTGAGTCACAGATAGAACTTTGCAGTAATAAGTGGGGTATCAACCATCCATATGAAACACATCTAGGTAGTTCAATGGAAACATAGGATTCCCACCTCTTAGAAACAAAGAACAGTTAAATATTAAAGTTGAAAGGTCCTGGATAGATAACCTAATCCAAGTATCATGCCAAAGATGAGAAAACTAGAACCTGGAGAAGTGATTTATCCAAGATCAAAGAGCAAACCAAAAGAATAGCAAGGACAAGTTTAATACATTGCTTTTCCCTTTGCTATGTTGTTCCCTCATATAAATCTGAGTAGAGATCTTTATGATTATACCCATTCAGAAAAATAGGATTGGAATTGGAAAAATGTTCTTACCACCCAAATGTCATGGCAGAAAGAAATCAGAACATTCTGCTTTCATATATGATGGAGCAGATGGCCAGAGGGTTCTAGAAAGATTTATAAATGTCTACTGAGCCCTACCTGTGACTATATGCCCCTTCCTATACGAAGCCTTAAGTCTTCCCCTGACAGACCACTAGCTCTGGCTAAATGACTTGAAAACTATTTTGTTTTAAATATCAGAAAGGCAATACATACCCTATATTTGCCCAACTCCTTTGGAAATGCCAAAATAACATCTCCAATGAAAATAAAAGCAAGCCATGAAGTGCAAAGGATATGACAATGAAAAAGGTACCAGTCTCATGTATTTTGATACTTTAATATAAGATATCTGGGCTGCTATTTTGAATCATTCTATGATAGCATCAGTCAAAACATAACATAGAGTATCTCCAAAAAAAATCTGCTAATATGAGAATAGACATTTCAATGTGAAGTAACTAGAGTCAGGGAAAACAAACTTCAAACTGTAAAAACACAAAGGAATAATTTAGTCATTCTCTCATATTATTCAGCTGTCTGATTATATCACCTGGCAATTTTTCTTTCTGATGTTCAATGATGCTACATCCCTTTTCCTTAGCTGCCTCTAATTAAATGCAATTCTTTAATAATATTTCATGCAAATTAAATCTGCTGGAGACTTAAAAACAAAGAAAAAGTGGTGATTCACCCAGCAGCATATCCCTTACCTACCTGTGGCTTTGTGTGAGTTGGAGAAGGGGACAGATGCCTCAGCAAGAGCTGCAAGGGTAGCCAGCACTGAGGTGGTAGAATTTGAAAACTGTACTGTTGAGGTATGGGGGTCACCTATTTCAGTAAGAAAGACAAATGAAGTCTAATGTATAGGAAAACTTGAGGCAAATTAAAAACAGCTTATTAAATCAAAACCTCAGCTCTTCACTCTAATGTCCTCCATCTTGTTCTCTAACTCAAACTGATATAAGTCAATTATATCAGTGTTAAAATTCTTTTAAGGTTTAAAAAGTTTTTCCTTTAAAGTGGATTAAATTAGTATACTTGCAGGGCTGGGCATGCTTCACGCCTGTAATCCTAGCACTTTGGGAGGCCGAGGCAGGTGGATCACGAGGTCAGGAGATCGAGACCATCCTGGCTAACACAGTGAAACTCCGTCTCTACTAAAAATACAAAAAATTAGCTGGGCGTAGTGGTGGGCGCCTGCAGTCCCAGCCACTCTGGAGGCTGAGGCAGGAGAATGGCATGAACCTGGGAGGTGGAGCTTGCAGTGAGCTGAGATCGCACCACTGCACTCCAGCCTGGGCGACAGAGTGAGACTCCTTCTCCCAAAAAAAAAAAAAAAAAAAAAGTATACTTGGTACAGGGCCACTACATTCCCTTCATTTAATCATTCTCTTGGCACTGCCAGTGCTGAGCATGGGTAGCTAACAGACCAAGAGTGCTACCCACTTCCTAAGCTGGCTGGGCAGAGCTCTCCTTGGCAGCAGGCAGGAAGTGTAAAATGCATACCTCACCCCAAGCTCAGCAGTGATAAGGAAATAGTCCCCTTCTGGGCTTTACCCAATCATACTACCTCTTTTCATCAGCTAGAGAGATGTGAAGAATAGGATTCACCTCCAGTACAAGGATAGTTAAAAACTTAAAGTTTCATGGCCAGACGTGGCGGCTCACGCCTGTAATCCTAGCACTTTGGGAGGCCGAAACGGGTGGATCACTTGAGGTCAGGAGTTTGAGACCAGCCTGGCCAACAAGGTGAAACCCTTTCTGTACTAAAACTACAAAAATTAGCTGGGCGTGGTGGTGTGCACCCGTAATCCCAGCTACTCGGGAGGCTGAGGCAAGAGAATCACTTGAACTTGGGAGGGGGAGATTGCAGTGAGCCGAGATCGCACCACTGCACTTCAGCTTGGGCGACAGAGCAAGAGTCCATCTCAATAAATAAATAAATAAATAAATAAATAAATAAATAAATAAAAATAAAGTTTCATATATTGAATGTCAAGGGGTAGTACAATAGATCAATGCTAAAAACACTAAATGCTAAAAATACTTTAGTTATGTCAAGATATACTTTTATTTTTTATTTATTTATTTTTTGAGATGGAGTCTCGCTCTGTCTCCCAGGCTGGAGTGCAGTGGCACAGTCTCTGCTCATTGCCACCTCTGACTCCTGGATTCAAGCGCTTCTCCTATCTCAGCCTCCTGAGTAGCTGGGATTACAGGTGTGCACCACCACGCCCAGCTAATTTTTGTACTTTTAGTAGAGACAGGATCTCACCATGTTGCTGGTCTTGAACTCCTGACTTCAGGTGATCTGCCTGCCTCAGCCTCCCAAAGTGCTGGGATTACAGGTATGAGCCACTGTGTCTGGCCAAGATGTACTTTCAGAAAGACTTTGTTCATAACCTTCTCTTATATCTGTGTGCTATTCTCATAGCTAAGTTGTAAGAGGGAAGCGCACTAGATCTGGCAACAGACATGCCTAACTTTATGAACCAAAAGTATTACTCTAACTGTGGATATTTCCTTGTTGGGGAAAAAAAGTATTACTTAACAGTATTATAAAATGAATTATATTTCCCTATTTTTTTCCCTATAATTTCAGAGATACGTATTGTGCCAGTTACAAATGTATTGCCTCTCAGTTCCAAATCTACCCTTCTTTGTCCTGCCTGGTGATGCTGGGGCTGGACCCTATAAACATTTCTTGTCAGCTGGCATGACATTCAGCTTTGCTTTAGTATAGAAGAAGTGGCTGCACCCTCTATTGGCTATTCCTGTATTCTTTTTTTTTTTTTTTTTGAGACGGAGTTTTGTTCTTGTTGCCCAGACTACAGTGCAATGGCACGATCTCAGCTCACTGCAACTTCTGCCTCCTGGGTTCAAGCCATTCTCCTGCCTCAGCCTCCCAAGTAGCTGGGACTACAGATGCGTGCCACCATGCCCAGCTAATTTTTGTATTTTTAGTAAGACGGGGTTTCACCATGTTAGCCAGGCTGGTCTGGAACTCCTGACCTCAAGTGATCTGCCCGCCTCAGCCTCCCAAAGTGCTGGGATTACAGGCGTGAGCCAGCACACCAAGCAATATATTTTCTTTTCTTTTTTTTTTTTTTTGAGACAGAGTCTTGCTCTGTCACCCAGGCTGGAGTGCAGTGGCCAGATCTCAGCTCACTGCAAGCTCCTCCTCTCGGGTTCACGCCATTTTCCTGCCTCAGCCTCCCGAGTAGCTGGGACTACAGGCACCCACCACTTCGCCCGGCTAGTTTTTTGTATTTTTTAGTAGAGACAGGGTTTCACTGTGTTAGCCAGGATGGTCTTGATCTCCTGACCTCGAGATCCGCTGGTCTCGGCCTCCCAAAGTGCTGGGATTACAGGCTTGAGCCACCACGCCCGGCTATATTTTCTTTTTAAACGTACTCTTAATTTTTTTTTTTTTTCCAAGACAAAGTCTGGCATTATTGCCCAGGCTGGAGTGCAGTGATACAATCTTGGCTCACTGCAACCTCTGCCTCTCAGGCCCAAGCTGTCCTCCCACCTCAGCCTTCCAAGTAGCTGGGACTACAGTCGTACATCACCATGCCTGGCTAATTTTTTTTTTTTTTTTTTTTTTTTTTGTACAGACCAGCTTTCACCATGCTGCCCAGGCTGCTCTGAAACTCGTGAGTTCAAGCTATCTGCCTGCCTCAGCCTCCCAAAGTGCTGGGATTATAGGCATGAGCCACCGTGCCCAGCCTACTCTTAATTTTTAAGTTTTCCCATTACCTATGCTTAAATATTCTTTCCAGTTTTTCTTCTTTCAAGAAGTCAGGGCCAGCTGCAGTGGCTCATGCCTGTAATCCCAGCACTTTGGGAGGCCAAGGCGGGCAGATCACCTGAGGTCTTTGAGACCAGCCTGGTCAACATGGTTAAACTCTGTCTCTACTACAAAATGCAAAAAAAAAAATAGCTGGGTGTGGTGGTGCACACCTGTAGTCCCAGCTACTCAGGAGGCTGAGGCGGAGAAGCGCTTGAACCCAGGAGGCAGAGGTTGCAGCGAGCTGAGATTGTGCTACTGCACTCCAGCTTGGGTGACAGAGTGAGACTCTGTCTAAAAACAAAACAAAACAAAACAAAAAAACCCAAAAGTCAGTTATCAGGCCAGGCAGGGTGGCTCACAACTGTAGTCCCCACACTTTGGGAGACCGAGGTAGGAGAATTGCTTGAGCCCAGTACTTTGAGACCAGCCTGGGCAACACAGCAACACCTCATCTCTATTATTGTTATTTTTTGAATTAAAAGAAAAAAAGAAATTAGTTATCTGCAAAATACTTAAGGAAACTCCTATTTAACATTCTTGTTTTTTTTTTTTCTTTTTCTTTTTATTATACTTTAAGTTCTAGGGTACATGTGCACAATGTGCAGGTTTGTTACATAGATATACATGTGCCATGTTGGTGTGCTGCACCCATTAACTCATCATTTACAATAGGTATTTCTCTTAATGCCATCCCTCCTCCCTCCCCCAAACCCATGACAGGCCCCAGTGTGTGATGTTCCCTGCCCTGTGGCCAAGTGTTCTTATTTAACATTCTTTAAAGAAAAAATCCTTCCACAGAGCAGAGGATCCTTTCTGATGTGATTTGGTAATCTAACTGGTTTATACATTTAAACTTCAGCAGATTTTCCTTAAAAAGATAAATTACTTTCATAGGAAGTAATTCATCTTCAAGCTGTAAACCATTTTTTTTTTCTTTTCAAGATAGTCTCACTCTGTCACCCAGGCCAGAGTGCAGTAGCGCAATCTCAGCTCACTGCAACTTCCGCCTCTCAGATTCAAGCGATTCTCCTGCCTCAACCTCCTGAGTAACTGGGATTACAGGCTCCTGCCACCATGCTCAGCTAATTTTTTTGTATTTTCAATAGAGACAGGGTTGCGTCACACTGGCTGGGCTGATCTCGAACTCCTGACCTTAAGTGATCCACCTGCCTCAGCCTCCCAAAGTGTTGGGATTACAGGAGTGAGTCACCGTGCCGGGCTTAGAAACCATTTTCTTTTGTTATTTTAAGATTTTGTTTTATTTTGTTTTGTTATTTTCTTTTTTTTTTTTTTTTTTTTTTTTTTTTTTTCGGAGTTTTCCTCTTTTGTTCCAGCTGTTCTCTGCCTCAGCCTCCCCAGTAGCTGGGGACTACAAGTGTGTGCCACCAGAGACGGAGTCTCATCTGTAGCCCAGGCTGGAGTGCAGTGGCGCAATCTCGGCTCACTGCAAGCTCCGCCTTCCGGGTTCACGCCATTCTCCTGCCTCAGCCTCCCGAGTAGCTGGGACTACAGGCGCCCGCCACTGCGCCCGGCTAATTTTTTTCCTATTTTTAGAAGAGACGGGAGTTTCACCATGGTCTCGATCTCCTGACCTTGTGGATCCGCCACGCCTCGGCCTCCCAAAGTGCTGGGATTACAGGCGTGAGCCACCCACGCCCGGCCTGTTTGTTATTTTCTTTTGTTATTTTTATTATTTAAGTCTCGCTCTATCACCCAGGCTGAGTGTGGCGTGATCTTGGCTCACTGCAAACTCGCCTCCCGGGTTCAAGCAGTTCTGCCTCAGCCTCCCCAGTAGCTGGGGACTACAAGCTGCCTCAGCCTCCCCAGTAGCTGGGGACTACAAGTGTGTGCCACCACGCCTGGTTAATTTTTGTATTTTTAGTAGAGACTGAGTTTCACCATCTTGGCCAGGCTGGTCTTGAATTCCTGACCTCATGATCCGCCCACCTCAGCTTCCCAAAGTGGTGGGATGACAGACGTGAGCCACCACGCCCAGAAACTATTTTAATTAAAGCTTTAGGATGATTACTATGGG